TTTTTAATTTTTTAATATTTATTTTTTATTTTTTGGCGGACACAACATCTTTGTTTGTATGTGGTGCTGAGGATCGAACCCGGGCCGCACGCATGCCAGGTGAGCGCGCTACCGCTTGAGCCACATCCCCAGCCATGGCACCACTCTTACCTGACTCTCACTACACTCACCCTGCCAGCCTATGCCAGTGTCCTCCCAAGGGCCTTGCTCTGCCGAACTCTCCTCCAGCCTGGGAGGTGGGGGCCCAGAGAGCTTCTTTCTTGAATCCAGAGGGGAGCTGAGACAAGAAGAGAGGAGTTTTAGGGCTCCATCCCCAAGAAACTGGCCTGGTGTGACAGTACCCAGGCATCACTTCTAGATTTGCAAGTCCTAATGCCCATGAGCCTCCTGCTTCCTTGAATGCAGTGGCCCCAAAGTCCTGGACCTTCCCCTACAGGGTCAATTCCTCCCTCCCACCTACAGCAGCAAACAAAACCAAAAACAAAACCCAGAGACGTGAGTACTAAACTCCATTGAAGCTTCTAGTTCTCTGTCCATTAGTACTAAGAGCCCCCAGGATCACTCCCAACCCAGAACCAAGCCTCACCTGTTCACCATGGGTACAAACTCCTGGAAGGTGAAGGCCGGCGGTGGGGGCGGTGGATCCTCAGGCCGCAGCGCCCGCACAAACTCCTGGTAGCGCTGGCCAGGTTCGAAGGGCGCGCAGCACTCAGCCAAGGCTGCGAAAGCGCGAGGACCGCGTTCAGCCTGTGCTCTGCGCAGCCCAAAGAGGCCTAGGGTCACCTGTGGGGCGGAAACAGAGTAAAGAAGGGCGGGGCCTGGGCACCCTGGAGGAGGAGCCAGAGCCCCATTGGTAAGGGTTGGGGGCGGGGCAATAACAAGGGGACAGTTTAGGGACTAGGGCTGTCATCTAGGCCAGGGACTTGGTTGAAGTAAAGGCTTCTTCAAGGTCTGGGGCCCAACCGCCTGGCAGGGAGATGGAGTCCTGGGTCCCAGGAGTGACTCAGGGGCTGGGTGGAGGGGCCCTCAGCTGGGGCACAAAGGGATGAGAGAGAGTGGCGAAGGGAAAGAGCTGCCAAGGGAAAGAGCCTCACCCTCCTCAGCACTTCATCCCCCTGCAACACCAGCTTGCGCACGTGGGACACAATCCGATGCTTGGTGTTTTCCAGGTCCTGCTGGCGTGCGTTGGCCTCGCGGACGCATGCCTGATAAAACACCTCAGCCTCCAGGGCCTGGGGAAACCGAGAAACGCGTGGATGAGAGTGGAGAGTGGGGGGTGCCCAATGAAAGGGGACACAGGACTGACTCCCCACCTTGGCCTGGGCCTCCTCTCGGGACCTCCGCCGCCGCTCCTGCTGCTTGCTGGTTCCAGGGGAGGCTTGAGGGCCATGGTCCTCAGGGGACCCCTGGGAGCGCGCCCAAAGTTCCTCACTGCGCTGCGTATACTGGAGCTGGGCCCGCCGCAGTATCTGCACTGCCTCGTTCTGGAGGGTCATGGAGGGTGGGGTTTGGAGGGAAGTTAGTGACTGGCCTCTTAATCCTCCACTTGCCATCCCCCACCACTCGGCATCTCACCATCCGCTTCTGCTCCTTTATCCATTGCTCCTTGAACTCCTTCCGCCATTTCTCAATCTCGGTCCGTTTGGCAGCCAGTGGCTAGCAAAGGTGAGGGATAGTAATCAGCCTCAGGACCACCAGAGGTGCCACCCACCAGTATTCTCCATTCCTTACACCTGCATGCCTTTTCTTCTGAACCCTTTCCTTTTTTTTTCTTTTTCTTTTTCTGCAGTGCAGGGGATGAGACCCAGGGCCTCCTGCATGGGCTTCTTCACTGAGCCACACCCCAAACACTGGATCCTTTTCTGAGTCTCTATGTGAGAGTCTTCTCACCCAGGCCTGCTCTCTCCTATCGGTGTGATCAGGAGCAGAACTTCAGTGATCATCCCATCCTTTCTGCCTGGACCCAAACACACCAAGGTCATCTTCTGAGAATACTCAGCATTCATATGTCCTTCTTTATAAACATAAGCAGTTTTGCAACTGCACAGGAAGCCTGGTTTGAATCTCTGCTGGGTAACCTTGAGCAAGTTCCTGAGCATCCCTGGGCCTCAGCTTCCTCATCAGCATAATGGCAATGATGATGGTAGCAGTGACTTCCTCCCAAATTGTTGGGAATGGAGGGAATCCCACACAAAGGACATCAGAGTGCCCACCCCCTTACCTGGTAGTAATCTCTTTTCTGCTGGGCTACTGTCTCCAAGGCCAGGGTTCCCAGGTTGAGATCATGCTCCAGAAACAGAGTGTAGATATACTGCAGTGGCATGTGGCTCTGGGAGTAGGGTTAGGGGATGCTGAGGATCAGAGGACAGAGATGGAAAACTGGAGGGTTTGGGCTCTGGGGAAGTCTGCTCATGGTTACCTGCTGGTGGATGGACACCTTGCCAGCCTCAGCAATCTTCATAATGCTTTTAGCAAACTCCTGCTCTGTGGGGGAGTGGAGGGAGACATCAGAGTCCAGGCATCAGGGTCTAACTCCCTGAGGGCTGGGGTTGGGTAGAAGGGGCCCTCACCATAGCTGGCTCTCTTTTCAGTCCAGGCCAGCAGCTCCTTGGCATAGCGGCTCCACGTCTTGGCATAATCCAGGGCTGCATCCACGCCCCCTTTGGTCCTTATGAGCCTCAAATCCAACTCCACCCCTGGGGCAGATGGATGGAACCCTTAACTCTGAACATTGTCCTTCATTAGAAGTTTTCCCTGAGCCCTGGGACTAGTCCAGTAGCCCATGTCCTATACCCTCATGGCTCCAACTTCCCCATTTGGATCAGTGTTTTGATGGCAACTTTACAGATTCTCTACCCAGACTGGGGACTCCCTGAGGGCTGGGGCTTGGATCTGTTGTGTGCACTGCTGTGTTCCCTGAACCTGAACAATGCCTCAGTGCTGACTTATTGGAGAAAGAAATCCTTTCTGCCCCCATTATCCTGGCCTCAATGTCCCCTACCTGTGAGGGGTGCAAGACCCTCTGGGGAGGGGCCACTCCAACGGCTGGCTTCACTGGTCTGGTGGGGGGGGGGAGACAGCATTCAGGAGCAAGTAGGGCAGAGATTCTGGCTCAGGCCCCTCTTCCTTGTCCCCCATGTCCCACTTACCACAGTGGCTGTGGTGACCTTGTCAGGATCCAGGTCTTCTGAGATTACAGGGTCTCCAGACAACATCTCGAAGGTTCTGGGGGGCAAGGGGGTCAGAGGCCACCTCTGTCCAGACTGTCCTGCATGTATGTGTGGGGAGGTGCTGGGGACCCTAGGGCAGTTTGGGGGACAGTCCTGTGGCATCTCTTGTGTCTGGAAGGTCTAAGGATTTGGCAGAAGCCAGGTGAGGATTTTTTTATTTTTATAGGGTTTGAAAGGCCCTATATAACTTTGGGGTTCATAGAGTACTATTTTAGCAACCTCAGTTGTTTTAAGGTTCACAAGAAGGATGTGTGGTGGGCTTAGGGCCACTTTGGGAATATATCTAAAACATCTGGGATCCTATCTTAGACTTTTGATATTATTAGATAAGTGGGTCCAGATGATGCAGGTTCCAAATGGGGCTTAGGGGCACCTGCATGATTGGAAATTTTGGGGATCCTGGCAGGATTTGGGTGATCCAGGTTCAGACTCACACATTTCCCAGTGAGATCTCGAGATTATCCAGGCTGCGGAAGATGTCACTGTACCTCTTCCTGCTCTCAGGAGCTGGGGGGATCCCTGGGGGGGGGGAGTGTAATATATGGGCCAACCACTGCCTCCCTCCACCCACAACACCTCAAGCCACAATCAGCACCCCAACCAATCTAATTTAGAGGGGTCCAGAGAGAGTGCAGGGGTGTGAGGAGAGTGGGATGCAGGGAGAGTGGGCTTAGATGGGGCCAACTCAGGGCAGGCAGATGGACCCAAATACAACCACAGACAGCTGCTCAGAGGAGCAGAGACACCCACACAGGCGGGAACCCAGAAGCAAAACAACAAAACATTCCCCAGATGCAGCTACATTATCCGGGAGGACAGAGATGGCTTGACAATGGAACCACATGGACCCCAGGCCAGACAGATGGAAATACACGTGGGACACACAGGCACAGAGCCTGCGGCATAAACACATGGACAGACTGAAACCACGAGGGACTTCAAGACTGAGTGACTCTCCACATACAAGAGACACAAAGACATCCGGAAACACAAGTCGGACCTTTTCCACATTTCTGCTGCTGCCCCTGCCCCCTCTTCTAGGGGCCTCAGATCAACACTGTCCGCTCCCTGGGGCTACGGAGGAGCCCTGTGGGGATCTTACTGCGTTGCCCTCTCCCACAGCGGTCGTGACACCCTGCCCCCATCACAAAAATCAGAAGCAGAAGCGGCCACTTCCCTTTCCTGGGCCCCCTCCCCCGCAGCGTCCTGGGTGAAGGCTCATTAGTGGATGGAGGCTAGTCAAGAGCTGATGTCCTGAGCCCCTCCTGGTTGGGGGATCCCCACCATGAAGGATCCCTGCAATTTTTCAAATCAGGAACTCTTTTCCCGGCTCTCGAGACCAAGAGGGACAGACGGAGTTACTCAATCTAGGAACTGAGAGGGACATCGTGGAAATCTACCCGATGCCCAGATTCAAGACCCCCTACCTGGCTCTGATGTATCCATAGTTAAGCCCAGGGATCGTTCAGCGGAGACCTGGCCAGCGACAGGGCTGCACGCCGGCAGGGGACCAGCCCCGATTTCCTGCCGCTGCCGGCGCCGCCCGGGTCCAGCCTCGCCCCGCCTCTCCGAAACCACGCCCACAAAAGACCACGCCCACGCGACGGCCACACCTCCGAGGCCCAGAAGCCGGGTGTGCGGCCACTGCTCAAGCAACCTTAAGATCTCGTCTGGTCGGAGTCTCTCCGGTGACCATCCTGGGTTGCAACGCCCCAGATTAGGGCATCTAGGACTTCGTACAAGACTAGTCATTTTCTTAGATTTCTGTGCCAACCGGACGCCCACGAAGCCCCAGCCCCAAGACCGTCATTCTGGGGTGTCTGTCCCAGAAACTTCCCAGTAACCTCCAAGCCCAGAGGTTATCTTGGAATCCACGCCCGCCGGATTCGGGCAATGGCGACTCCTGGTGGAGGCCTGACGTTCTGCATGATTTCAAAGTAGAACGTGCTGAGGTTCAGTCTCTGTGACCCCCGCTCCCCTGACCCACCCATGATCTTCAAAGTTGGATTAGGCTCTTGAGGCCCCCATAGTGTTGTCAAGGAGTGCCCCTCTCAGAGACGCGGGCACAGAGAGCCCTTGCTCTGGGATACCCAAGAATCATCCATCTCAGGGATTTAGCAGCTCTAGTCAGGTAGCATCAAGTTCCCTCAAGCCCTGTCCAGAGTGCACTTCACTGCTGGTCTTGCCCCCCCACCCCCAGCCTCCACATGGTTCCTGTTCCCAGGGTTTTCCTCATGCCACACTGCCTGATGAAGCTAGCCACGTGTGGGCAGGAGGTGATTGACTATAAGCAGCTTTGTCAGTTATGAAGTCGAGTACACATCCAGCACTGTGGAATTTTTGGCTGGAAATAAAAAAACTTTAAAGTATGTGTGAAATTTTGCTTCCTAAAGTTGTTTGCTTTTGCAGAGGCAAATCTAAGTGGCTGTGATTCTAGGCTTATGCTGCTACCTACTCCACAATTTATTTTTTATTTCTGTGGTACTGGGGAAGGGAACCTAGGGCCTCACACATGCTAGGCTAGTGCTGTACCATCACATCCCTAGCTCACTACTCTGTAATTATTGAGTTGCAGTATGTCTCTTGAAAGGAATGGCACTATCAGTACTAGGGCTGAGCCAGGGTTCTGGGTCACATCCTGGCTGTGAGACCCTGGCAATTGCCACCCTAATCTGTGATGTGAGGTTGGCACCACGGCATAGGACCCCAAGAAACATGACCCAAGTCAGTATCTATAGTGGTGTGGATCATATTTTACACATCTAAGACACCACCATGAGGAAGGCAAACTGTTATATCATAAGTATTTATGGAAGAGGGAAAAGGACAGCCAATCCTAACCTCTCCCAGTACCTGAGATTCACCTGGCTTGTGACCTGCAATAACCCCTGTGTGGCACAGACAACATGGAGGCAAGGCTTCTTAAAATCTTGGATGCTGCTTTATTTAACAAAGGGGCTGTTTTCACAAGCCAGGCCAGCAGAGGGCTGTGGGGGCCCCAGTTCAGTCTTCCAAGGGCAAGGCCAGGAAGCCTCACCATGGGGGTAGGGGTAGGGGACACTGTTTCCTCCTGGGGCCCTGGCAGGGCTCCCGCCTGGTGGCAGCCAGGGTAGACGGTGGGTACCAGCACCGCCATCTCAGGAAGGCACTTTCAGCTTTGGGGTCCCCAGGAAGAACTGTAGGACACGGTCGGCCAGGAGCGCCAGGCAGAAGTCCAGAAGCAGGACCTGGGCGATGACGAGCTTGAACTGTTAAAAGAGCAGAGAGGGCTGATGAGTTGGGGACCTGTGGACAGGTCCTTGTAGGTGGGCCCAGGCTGAGCCCCAGATGTACCTCTGCAGGGCCACTCACCTCCACAGGGATGTCCACGAGGCCAAACTGGCTGTTGAAGTCAGGTGAGGAGCCGAGGAGCAGGCCAACAATGGCCAGGAGTGACACAGCCAGGCTCCACACCAGGGGCTTATTCTCGGGAAGGCTCTCCATGAAGGGTGGGCCCTGTGGGAACAGAGGGACAGATGGCTGCATGTGGTAAGGGCCAAGAGGACATGTAGCAGGGTGTGCTGGGCAAGAGGCCAAATCTCACCTTATAGTTGATGGCGAAGGTGGCCATCTGCATGGCCATGGCCATGATGTACACAGTGCTGTTGACCAGGGTCGGTTCAAACTCCTTGTACAGGTCCACAAACTGCTCCCGCCTGTAGAGATGCCAGGGGGTGGGAAGAACCCCTCCCCTGCTCATGAACCCACTATGGCTCCTTGGTATCCCATCCAAGATGACTCCCAGGCTCTTATAAACATCTGCACACATATCCTCCTGCCACTCCCAACCACAGACATTACTTCCTCTGGGGATAATACTTACTTCCCAGGGCTTCGGGCCTGGGCCTCACTGTACAGGTAGACAAGGCTCAGGAAGTGCACAAAGAACTGGAGCATAACCGTGAGGATTGTATATAGGTTGAAGATATTGGGCAGGGGTCGCTCTCGAGACAGGGTCTTCAGGGGCTGCAGCAGAAGGGTTGGGGGTGGGGTCAAAGCCTGGCTTGCCCTAGGACCACTCTACCCTTTCCCTCCTGGGAGGCCTTGTGCAGATAGTGGTCACAAAATGCTAGGGTGAGGCTGGCACTGCTGCCCTAGTCTGGATCCTCTGTCTATACACTCCCCACAGCAGCCTTGGGAGTCTTAAAGTCAAAAGTACATCCTATTCTCTTTGTTCCAATTCACCCGTTTCCGCTGTAACAGAACCCACTCAAAGCCCTTCCTGGGGCCCATGAGGTATCCATGGATTAGCCCTACCAACTCCCAACCTCTGGCCACTGGGGTGTCAGCCCGTGCATGCCAGGGACTTTATGCTCAGTTCTTGATTGCCAGCAGCGCCCTCTTTATGAGTGGGCCTGAAGATCAGCATGACATAGGACTCCATAAGGAGGTCCCATGTAGCCTGTGACCCACTTAGTTTTTTTCTTTTGGTACTGGGGATTGAACCCAGGGGAGCTTAATCACTGAACTATATCCCCAGCCCTTTTTTGTGTTTTATTTAGAGACAGGGCCTCACTAAATTGCAGGGGATGGCTTTGAATTCACGATCCTTCTGCCTCAGCCTCCTGAGCCATTGGGATTACAGACGTGCGACAACACGCCCGGCTTTCACTTAATTTTTTTCAGGGCCCTGCAATATCCTGAGTGCTTTTGGTAATTGTTTCCCCATCTGACCTCTCCTTGTCAATGGATTCTGGCTGAATCAAGACCCCAGCCTGTAAATTGTGGGGACCCCAAGGTATGCCACTCAGAGGTATCCTGGAATCTTGGCCTGCACCTGCCCTGCTGATACATCCTATACTATCCCAGACACAGCTTCTGGGCCCTGGATCCCCAACTATAACACAGAAATAAGAGTTCTCATTTCAGGGGCTGCTGTGAGGGTGAAAGGATAGCACATGTCAGGGCTTTTAACAGTCGGCCCTAGCTGGCCCTTGTGTCCCTGGCCTTCCAGCACCTCCAGGGCCTACCTTGGAACGAGAGATGAAGAGGAAGCAGCCAGCCAGTAGCAGCCCCTGCAGTGTGGCCTGGAAGTCGCTGAACTTGACACCTTCAAGGTACAAAACACTCTGGCTATAGGCCAGGATGAGGGCATTGAGTGCCAGGATCTTGAACATCTGCAGTGTGGTTACCAATGTGCAACGGCCCTGCTTGATCACGTGGCAGACTGTGGGGGTGAGAAAAAGCAGGTGTGGGTGGGGTGCAGTGAAGGGATGGGCATGGGCTTAATGGTGGGTGCTGGGACTCACTGCACTGGATTGATGAGAGCTTAGAGGTGAACGGTGCTGCGATGCTGGCGTCCCCCAATTTCACAATAGGTGTGCTTTCATCCTCGAGGTCCCGAAGCACCTGGCTTAGGCGGTCCTGTGGGTTGGATGGCAGAGGATCAGCCCTGGCCAAAGTGGGTACCATCATCTCCCTCCAGAGACTCACCCTTTGGGAAGTTGGTGGTTCCTCAGAAGATGGAAGTCCCGACCTCTGCTTGGCCGTCCTGGAGGTGGCCCTAATACCACTGTTGTTCAGAACTGGGCTGTCCCGGGGCCGCCGTCGCCGCTCAACGACTCTCTCAGGGGCATTGGCAAGGAGTGCTACACCTGGTAAAGCAACAGGAGCAGGGGGTAAGAGAGGTCCTGAGAAACGGACTCCAGTGTATTTGTTCATGGCAGAACTGGACATGCCAGCCTCAGAACCTTTCACCTGATCTCCCTAAGGAGACCTCAGAAGATGTCCATTTTGCTTTCAATAAACTACAAAGAAAGAAAAACAAAATCCACAACAAAAAAAGAAAACAAAAGCCACAACAAATACAACGAAAAATCACACTACAGAAAGTTATAACTAGACTTTTTCCAAAAAAACTTACTGCCCAAGGAGGATAACAGGAGGAAGACAATCCTTCATGCAATTCTTTAATAGGTAAAGCAATGGAACAATGGAAAACCCCAGAAACTACTTTAGGTTGACCTATTTTGTATTTTATTTAGAGTCTTACTGAGTTGCTTAGCGCCTCGCTATTTCTGAGGCTAGCTTTGAACTCAAGATCCTCCTGTCTTAGCTTTTTGAGCCACTAGGATTATAGGCGTGTGCCACTATGCTCGGCTTAAAGTTTAACTTAACGCTGGTGTCCCTTTGACAGAGATCTCAGTCTATGAAGCACCAGCAATCATTTCAGCCCCTGGTTTTCTGAGTTGCCTTCCCCATTTGCCCCATCTCTCCCAAACTCTGTTCCTGTCTCTAGCACCACTTTGATGTCTGAATCATGGTGGCCCCCCCAATCCCTTGCACTGCTTCCTCACAGGAAGTGGTGCCTTCATGACTACCCATGTGCAATCAAGGCCAAGTTTTCTTGCACAGTGATATGTGCCCAACACCAGAACCCTGAAGGGACAAACAGCTGCCAGCTACTATCAGGGCTCACCCACATCGGCGTGCTTCAGGGCGCCCACGTCGTTAGTGCCATCCCCACACATGAGGGTCACGTAGCCCAGCTCCTTCAGACTGGTGATGACAAATTCCTGCATGACAGAGGCATGCTGAGTGAGGGCTGTGTGCCCACTCACAGGGTCCCCAGCACCCCTGTCTCCCTAGTACCCTGCACGCACCTTCTGTTTGGGGGCCACACGGGCAAACACCTGTACGTGGGGGATGATGTGGAGTAGCTGCTGGGGGTCGGTGGCCTGAAGGTGGGCCAGGCCATCACCTGTGAGGCACAGTGCATGCTCCAGGGCCAATGTCTTTGGGGAGCCCCGGGACAGGGGTAGCACGATGCTGCCATCAATGGAACGCCACTCGCACATTTGGCCTGTAGGGCATCCAAGGTCAGGGAAGAGTGCTCAGCTACTCAGACTCTCCTCTCTAGAATCTCTCATCTTCCAACACCACCCCATTTCACCCCACCCCTGCCGACCTGAACCCTAGACACTTGGACCAATACCATAACTCACCAAATACTTGCTCCTGCTCCAGGCACTCCACAGAGAAATATTCACTGAACTCTTAGGTATAGCTGAGGGAACTAAGAACCTGAGCCTGAGCTATTTGCTTAAGATTACACGATGGGGCCAGATGCAAACCCAGACAGCCTGATCTCAAGAAGCGAAACCACCCTTCACCTTGTGCAAAGCACCCTTGACATCAATCCTTCACCTAATGAACTCCCATCTTCATTGCCTGCCTGAAACCTGATTTTCCTAGGATAGCCTCCCTTCCTGCTCTGAGAATGTTGTGTAATTTTTCTCTTTTTCCAGAACTTGGCCTTGGCTTGGATGCAGAGTTGAGGACGAAGAAGCCAGGGCAGCCCGCCCCACAATGAACCACTCACCCTGGAAATGTCTCAAGTGGGAGGGAAACCAAGCTCCTCCTGGGTTTTGTTATGGCTGTTTAGACCAGCTTTGTTGTCAACAATAGTTCTGACTGTTCCCTCTGGGCCACCTGTCCACAATCCTGGGGTTCCAGGATTGAGCTTTCTAAGGGGCAGCTGGCTAGTTGCAGGAGCCAGCCTGGTTAGACCCTACCCAGCAACTATCTGGCCCTGTAAACATTTGCCACCCATAGCCCTGAGATGCCATTGCGCCGTGTAACTCCTCTCATGATTCTCTGTTGCACCTACCCAGGTCCTGCACTGAGCACACCCCATGCCCAGTGACATCAAGTGAACTTGGCCAAGTAGGTTCACTTCCAAACCTCTGTTTCCTTGGGTACAAAACAGGGCACCAATAGCTGCCTTAGTAGTTGGCCTTCCCCTCTGAGGTGTGGGCAAGATAAACTGTACTGTGCAGTGTGGGACAGGTTAGGACTGACATGGTAACATGCACCAAGCCATCTACCTGGGGATTGGTCATACTGAGCACTTGGCAGATGATGGCATCATTGGGTGCTGGGGAGCCCAGCAGATCCTGAACTTGGGAAAAGAAGTACTTGTACAGGGGCAGCCTGCTGGGCCCAAGATAGCTACGAGGAGGTGGCCAGTGAGCCAGTGTGGCTAGAGCAGCAGCCAGTGACACTGGGAACATGCAGAAAACCCAAGCTAGTGTGACCACCAGTGCCTCATTACTGTAAATAAACAATGCAGATCCTGGAACCAGTGTCCCAGTCACTGTCTATAAGCTGCTCAATGACCTGGGGCTGTGGTCAGCAATACCACCATGGCAATGGGTGACTGAGGATAGTGCTATCACTGAGGCAGGCTGCTGGGACAGGAGCTGTTCCTGGCCTAGGGTCTCCCCTGTATCCCTTTCCTGTGCCAGAGCCTCACCTTTGTCTGAGGGAGGCTGCAGGATGAGCGTGTGGGCCTTTTCAATGAAGTGCAACTCCTGGGCCACGTGGCAGGCAGTGAGTGGGTTGTCGCCTGTGATCATGACCACCTTGGGGAGACAAGGGTGAAGGTTTAGCAAGGTAGGCCTGGCTGGGCAGAAGCCCAGCCTGGAGAACTGGCCATCACATCTCTAAGACGAGATATGGAGGGAGGTCAGTCCTCTAAGGTTGACCCCAAATGGGGCTTGGGGCCACAATCCACCCGATCCCATTTGGGTGCTGCACAAATGATGTGTATGAGTCTGAGTCCTGAGAATATCCATAAATTATTTTCAATCCCAATTCTCCATAACTTTTGTTTACAATACAAATTAAGCATCAGCCTCTGTATAGACCCTCTTGGCTTGGTAGTTTCCTATGGGAGGAACATTCTGGCAATGGGAAGGATGGACTGTGACCTTTGAGAGCCTGGTAGGAACCAATCATCCTGTCATGGAATTGCTACCCCTGGGACTGACTACCTATCTCCCACAACCTAAAAAAACTTCTCAAGTTTCAAAACAGAAAAAAACAAACCACCAGAGACAGACAAAAACAACTAGGAAAAGGGTAGGGTGCAGCTCAGTGATAGAGTACTTGCTGAGCATATGCAAGGCCCTGGGTTCTGCCCCAACACTGTAAAAAACATAACAAAACCATCAGGAGAGACAGGAGCCACTACCCTCATTTCCCTCGCCACCAGCTTTAGCTTTAAGCTTCTTTTTCTCTAGGACAGGGCTGGTGTGGGGGAGTGGGGAGAACAGCCCCTGCTTCCCAGGGATACTGGGAGATGTGTGGAGGTGACATGAGAAGAGCCAAGAGTGTCCTACAGTGTCCTCTGGTTGGGACAGAGTGAGCACTGCAGGTATGACTGCACCTCGCTAAAATCTCACTATTGAGATTATAAGGCTGACATTGTTCTCTGCTGCCACCTCCCTGGCCCATGCCATACCCGATGGGATGCATTCTGAATCTCTCGAATAACAGCCTTGGAGTCAGCCTTGAGCGGGCAGGAGACCACGATGAAACCGACAAACTTGAGGCTGCATTCCAGGGCTTCACGCTTGACCTCCCGGGCCTGTGGACAGATGTGAGGTACCTTTACCATTGGTTCCTCTGCCAGTCCCCACTTGGCACTTCCCGTAGAGTCCTTTCCTCAGGAACTAGAGCTTCATGTAACAGTGCTGGGTGTGGGGGATGGAAGGAAAGATCCTGTCCTTAAAGGACAGTTAGGCTAGGGTCAGGGGAGATGCTAGGCATTCTTGAGGGATGGAGTCTGGCAGTAGTTGGTGCCTAGGTTTTTGGATCATGCCTCTAACTTCTGGTTGTGGACATGGGCATATCATGGAACCCTTAAGGCTTAGCTTCCGAGTCAATAAGGTTGGGACTCTTTCCTGTAGCCAATTACCCTTATCTACCCTGTACCTTCAGGGAACTCCCAAGATACCAAGAGAAAGAGATGATAAAAGAGAATCACAGAAAACAGAGTACTGAGTGCCACCACAGAGATGGGGAAATGGGGTGGATAGGGTTCGAGATGGCATCTGGGGGCATGGGGAAGGCTTCAGAGATCATGGCTCTTGAAAAAGGCAAGGGCCTGTGCCACTGGGGAGCAGAGGGCTCCAGATTCAGGAGCAAGACAGTGACCACAAGGAAGAACACGTGCTGGCTCATGTGCTGGCTATGAGCCTAGACTAGAACTGGGGCCCTGCATACAATGCTACATCCTGACATTAAGTTCTAGAAGGATGCTGAGAATGTATGTAAGCAGCCTGAATAAGGGCCAAGGGACAGCAGGCAAAGGGGAAGCTGTTGGCATTGGATGGGGCCAAGAATTTGTGGATGAAGAGATGTGGGCTGAAAGCTGAGGATGCTGCTAAGACCTTTCAGCGACCAGGAAGTATGGAAAGGAAGGAATGCGGCTGGGAGATGGGAATCTGCAACACCTGCCACTCCCGAAGAAGGATACATAGGACATGCCAGAGTGGGGACAGGAGATGAAGCCCAGATGTGCTCCATGCGACACAGTCCCATGGTTGAAATCTGAAATATAAGGTAGAAGCTGGAGGAAGGGAGGTGACAGGAGGATGGCAGATGAAAAGCCTAGCACCTTACCTGCTGGTGGGTAAGGTGTCCTAGCTCCTTGTACCCCAGTGCGAGGACGCGGGCTCCTTCTCGTGAGATCTCAGTGTGGATGTGGTGGTAGTCAGGCGGGCACTGGGAAAACTGCAGGGAATGCAGGGGGATGTCACTGTCTGTCCCTTGCCCTCCCCACCTCTCTCCAGGACCAGGGCAGGCTCACCATGGAGTGCAGGGTTTCAGGGGCCCCCTTCACAGCCGCGATGTAGCAGAGGTCAGTGGAGCCGAGCTTCTCATAGGAGGCGAGCACGGACATTCGTTTTAGGGCACTGGCAAAATGAAAGCGCTGGTGAATTTTCAGCCCCTGAGTTTTAATACTTCGGGGGAATACTTTCTCATCTGGAAACAAATAAGTACGAGTCCTGAGGGGCTTTGCTCCGAAGAGGCAGCCAAGCCCCCACCTCTCCGCCCAGCCTCCCCACCTCCTTCCCTCCCGGGGGTCAGAGCTGGGAGACCTGAGCTTGGAGAATGCTAGCACTGTGGCTTCTGCCAGAACAGTGTGGATTCCAATCCAGGAGGACACCCAAGGATGTGGACTGTCCCGGGACTGAAGTGAGCCTGTGCCCACTGGTCTAGGCTAACACTACAGTTGTGGGCCCACCTGCCCAAAGAGAGGTAACCCGTGACAGCCTGAAACTCTAGCCCCTCACCTTTGGTCAGTGTCCAGTCCACGGCTGTGAGCATGGCCTTCTCAAGGGGGTCACCCACAAGGGTGCCATCATCAAGCTGCATAAGGGAGTGGCATGAGGCCAGGGCACGGTGTGTTTCTACAGGGATGCTGGACACTGGTGTCACCTCCTTCCCATCTCTGCAAGGACGGGGAGTAGCTGGTTATAGGATAGAGGCAAACCAGTTGAAGCTATACCTCTACCAGGGAAAGGACCCCAGGAATTCCAGAAAGGGACAGCGGGATGCACCCTAACAAAGCACTTTTTCTGTGTCAGTCACTGAGGCTACCTTGGATAGGAGTCTGGGTCCTCATGAGACTGTACCAGCCTCACAGAAGGCCCGAGAGATCGTGTATTGTACATGAAGTCACATGGCTGGTGTGGAGTGGAGGTTGGGCTGGCTGCTCTGGGCCTGACTGAGCCCTCATGCTGATACACTTATTCTAATAGAGGACAACAGGGGGAACCCCAGGAAGCAGACCTTTGAGGCAGGGCTTCTGGCAGGTCTTCACTTCAAGGGTCCGGGCTAAACTGTTTATCCCTTGATTTCCCAGAAGCCCCTTTGCTGGGCACCCTTAAGGCCCACAGTCTCTGACACTCACCTTAGCCCAGCCACACCACGCACCACTAAGCTGTCACTGGTCAAGGTTCCTGTCTTGTCAAAGCAGCACACCTCGACCTTGCCGGCAAAGGGGATCCGGAAGGGCTCCGTGCAGTACATGTCTGAGGAGTGGGAGTCAAAAGTCAAGGATCCCATCAAGATCCAGTGTAGTCAGTACCTCAGCACCACCTTTCACACTCACAGAGCTTGGCCAGGGCAATGAGGGAGGTGTTGACAGCTAGGGACAGCTCGATGGGCAGTTCAGGGGGTACAACCGAGGTGAGGATCAGGGTGCACTCCAGAAACAGCTTGTAGCGGTTCCGGCTGGGGTCCTTGGTGCCTGCAGAGACAGGGTCTACCAGTCTGAGAGCCAAGAGGGCAGGGTCTCAAAGAGGGGTAGGGCCATGTTGCTTACCTTCAATCCACACATAGGCAGCCGCTGCAATGGCAAAGACCAGGAGGAAAAGGATAAAAATGAAGGTCTCCAGGTTGTTTGCGGTCACCCTCTTGACCCCAAAGAGAATTGTGCGCAGCAGCTTGCCCTAGAGGGATAGAAAGACAGAAGCCTTTTCTGGTGGGAGACCTGCAAGAGAATGGTGGTCTTCCCTGCCTGAGAGCATTAGGCCAGATTTTCTATATTCTGGGGTTGAAAAGGGTCAATATTTCAGCCATCCAGTACCAACCCTGGGGCCCGTCCTCCCTAGCCCTGGTCAAAGCCTCACACCTGGGAAGTGTTGAATCCAGTACGCAGGACATAAGCCACACATCCATTGTCAACCGCTGGGGAGTCAAACAGAGCTATCGTCATTCAAGTACCTCATGATCAAGCAGATGTGGGGAGGAGGGGTTGGGAGACAGGGTACCCTCAGACACCCCTGAGGCACCTACGCTTCAGGCCTGTGGTGGCCTTCTGTGGGGGTATGTGTTGTACCACCTTGGTGCCCCCAAAGATGACATGGAGCCGGGAGTCAGCTTGGAGGTCCAGCACCCGGTCTGGGTTAAGGTCTTCAATTGGCTCCTAGGCGGGAAAGAAAGATGAAAGGTCTTGATGGTCACCCCCCACCTTAGACTCCTTGGTGAGAGTCTCTGGAGAGCTACACCCTGAGGCTGGGATGAGCCAGTCTGACCCCATGGGTTTTTGTGCCTGACCTAGCAAATTCCACCCAGCCCTCAGGTCTCTGCCTTCACCAGAGACAACAGGCCTTTCCCTGTCTTCTCTCTGCATACATGTGCAGCACTGATACCCCATGACCCCACACCTGGCCTCTATGAGGAACCTCCTGGTTTCTCTTCGCCTGCCTCAGTCTAATATCCCAAGGTGTCTGATATACGCCAGACGTCTGCAGTTTCTCACTTCCACTCCCTAATACTACCCCACACCCTCCCCTCTGTCCATGGCATTAACTTGAGTCCACTTTGCCTCCTCCAACTGTGCCTGGAAAGGACCCCCGCTCAACCACTCTCTTGGCCCACACAGCAAAGTGGACTGAGGACCCTCCATCCCCCAAGCACCTTCATTTGTGGCACCGACTCCCCTGTGAGCATGGCCTCATCCACGATGCAGCGGCCCCGCAGCAGCAGCACATCACAGGGCACTAGGTTTTCCTGGGGGGAGCGGCCTGTGGGGGAAGGGTGAGAGAACTGGCCTGTGGCCCTGAGGAAGGGGCTTCCACCTAGATATAACAGAAAGAGGTCTCACCAATGGAGACAATGTCCCCGGGAACAATCTCATCACTGGCAATGGGCCTCCACTTGCGGTTTCGGTAGACCTATATGGGGGTGTGTTTGTCATACAAAAGACACACCTGTGCTATGCTTACCCCAAGAATGGGCAAGGATGCCCCCACCCCAGACATCCCTGCTGGTTGTACCTGTATCATGTGGGGCTTATTGCCCATCTTCCGGATCTCTGACATGTTCCGCATCTGTTGCTGCACCAACGAGGCCTCAAAAGCCACCAGCATGGACAGTGTGAAGACACTGTAGTACCAGTACTCATCCAGACACCAGAGCCCCACGCAGAACACCTGTGGGACACTGGACTGTCCAACCTTGCTCACCTGTCCTGCCCCTTGGAACCCTGTGCACCTGAGGGATACAAGTTCCACCCACAGGCTCTGACCCATGAGGACAGGGAGGTTTGGGGATTTGGAGGTGGCAGACAGACTTGTACTGGCTGTGAAAGACCCAAGGGAGAAGACAGGAATAAGGACCAGACCTGCTCCTTTACCTGAAAGACAAAGAAGGGGGCTGTGGCTCTCTCCTTAAAAAGCTCAGAGAAGTCAGGCACCACCATCTCAGCCCTGCAAAAGACCACACCCCACATCCAGTTACTGATGCAAAGCACTGAGGTGCAAAGACCCTATCCTTGATACCTCCACCTGGGGACACTGTAGGCCTCCAGGAGAAACGAGGAGCCAGGTATGGCAAGCTTCCAGATAGGAAGCTCCATTAAGCCATGATTCCTCCTTGGCTCTGTTGTGCCCAGTGCTGACACACTGGCCACATAGTCCTCTGCTCTGCAGAACCCAGGCTTCAGAATCTGCAACAGGCTCTTCTGGCATCACCCACCTAGAGGGCCTGGGGCAAGATCAGAACCCTGCCACCTGGTCAGGTGAAACAATAAATAGAAGAGTGACCAAACAAGGGGAGCCCTGAAGTTGCAGAGGCGGTACTGATAGCTGGGAACTGGCAGTGCTTTTCCTTTTTGGGTTCTCCTGGGGGTCTAAAATACAGAGCCTCAGTCCTACCCCCAGTGGAACTAGGATTACCTATCTTCCCGAATAAAATCCCTGGAATTCAGAGAGCTTGGCTCAAGGGCATCTTCTGTGGCACTGTATGGTAGCCCAGTCTAAGGCCCAACCAATGAAGGAATGAAGGGACATGCCCAGATATAATGGGATGCGAGATGATGAAACCAAAGAATGATCCCACTGTTGTAAAAAACAACCCATAACAACATGGCTCCCATCCTGTATCCTGTTAGGGGCCTCTACTCAAGGGAAAATGTCATGAAATAAAATATCTATGCCACTTCATTTATGTGGCCCACCTCAGGCTAGGGGAGATGGTAAATGCTTCTTCGAAATCTTCACCTTACATAGACAGTCATGGTAAACACCTTTATAATTTCCTAAAAATCACTGCGTTAGTAAAGAATCCCTTGAGATATCTTGTGCGTTTCTAGATAGAGGACCATTGCCAAATGGCCAGGATGGGAGCTTGACAGGGTTTGAAGTCCAGCTTCATGCTGTCCCTTCCTGGATGCATGTCAGCACATGTGGTTTTGGTAAAGACTGAAGGAGAAAGTGCATATGGAGCATCTGTCATTCTACTCAGTACAAAAGAATAGCTATTATGACCATCAATGTCATTCTTTTTTTACTTGGGATGAAATTCAGGGTCTTCCACACATGGGTTCTACCAGTGAGCTCCACCTCTGGCCTTACTAAAATCCTTTTCTGTGTGTGTGTGTGTGTGTGGCAGGGTGCTGGGTATCCAACCCAGGGTCTTGCTTTTGCTAGGCAAATGCTGTACCACTGGGCTATAGCCCCAGGTTTTCCTCAGGCTGGCTTGAACTCACAATCCTCCCACTTCAGCCTCTTGAGTAGCTGGGATTATAGGTGTGTACCATAACATACCTGACTAGGGACAAAAGTTTAAAGAACAAATTTAAAAGAGGAAATTGCAAGAACAAAATAAAAACTGCTGCTGAGGAAGGCCATGGACCACGCTCCCTTGAGAAGTAGCATGTTTAAGAGTCTCACACCATGGGGCAAGGGTCTTCAGTCTAGGCCCTCTGGCAATTTGTGTCAGCAGACAAGTTTGAGGGAGACAGAGTACAGCATGTTTCTCAAAGGTGCCATGTTCACCTGATGCGTTTGGCTAAAAGGAAGATACCTGTCTCACATCCTGGACACCCTAAGCAGGGAGCAGAGCAGGGTAGAAATGCTAAAGGGGCCGGCAACAGAGACTCACTTGTTGCTCCCAAATTTCTTCTCAGCTGCTCGGATCTCTGCATCTTCCTGGAACCCTCTGTTGCTCTGATAATATGAGAAGGTGTTTCCCACAGGAAAGGACACAGGGAGGAATTGCTTTTTCTCAAGAGCATCATAGGAATACTTGATCTTTTGGAATTCAAAGGACAGCACTTCAAGCCCATCTTCACCCTGCAGCAGAAGGTATGTTTGTGACAGAGGACTCTGACCTGAGAGATATCAGTATCCAGGAATCCCTCCCAATCCCTTGATCTGGGTGGCCCAGTAGGTGGTCCCTACCTCATCACGATGCAGGGCCACGAGCTCCGTGGAGCCATTGTTGGGGGTCGGTACCACTTTTACGAAGGTCGCTTTGCTAGGGTTGTATTCCTGCCAGAGGCAAAGCATTGCCACTGAGCCCTTTTCAAGCCATGGGTCCACAGCTCCCATGGGTAGGGGCATGTGGGCACAGCAGCTGCATGGGTCATGTTCCAAACATATCACTGGGCTCTGACACTGACCTGGCCATTTTCCAGCCTGTCATTGTATAAGGGGCACCACCTCACTGTGCCCTGACCCCATATCATGAAACTGGAATCATGGATAGCACCCAACACCCAGGGCTGTGAATCAACTCACATGTTCCTAGCATGTATGAAGCCCTAGGTTTGATCTCAACAAAAAGGAAAAAAAAAAAAAAAGAGGAAGAATGATAGCTGACACTTAGTACAAGCTCCCTCACAGCCCACCCCTTACCACTCTTGTCTCTCTCCCATGCCTTATTCTTGTTGTGTAGTCTAACACACAAGGTTTATCCATGTCTGAACAAAGGGCCTTGGTATATACCCTTTTCTCTACCTGGAACACATCATACAGTTGGCTCCCCTGATGCCTTCAGGCCTTATATGTCACCCTCTCAGAAGCTCCTCCTGGCTGCCCCACCTAAAGCTCCCTGGCAATGGCCCCATGCTTATCTCGGTGTTGTCTCTTTTTCTTGTGGTGTTGGAGATCAAACTCAGGGACTTGCACATGCTAGGCAAGTGCTGTACCATTGAGCTACACCCTCATCCTTTTTTGGTTATTTTATTTTGAGATAGGGTTGCCTAGGCTGGCCTCAAATCTGTAATAGAGCAGCTGGGATTTCAGGCAGTGCCTCAATGTTATCTCTTTTTAGCATCAACTGCTGAGAACGAGTTATTTCTCCCACCAATGCCACAAAGGCAGTTGACTTTGCCTGTTCTGTTCGTGCTGTTTACCTAAGACACAGGAAGTACTCCCTCAATCCTGTGTGCTGTATTCTTTCCATGGCTGCTGTTAGACCCTCCTTTTCTGCTAGACCCTGTGATGACTGGGGGGGAGAAGAAGGGGATAGGAGCATGGTCATGACTCTAACAAACTGCCATGAAGGGAGTAGAGTAGACACAGTAGCAGGCATAAAACAGCAGTAAATATATAACTACGAACTCTGGTAATGCCATGAGAGAAAAGTAGAAAATACATGGTACTGATTCCATGGTAGGCACTTTGCAGATGTCATTTCAGCTCTTTATAATTGCACTTGGAGGTAGGTGTTACTGTTCTCACTTTACAGGAGGGAGAAACTGAAACTCAGAGAGTAGAACCACCCATCTGAGTTGTGATGCAAACCCAGATCAGTCTCTCCTAACTCCAAGGCTGTTTAGCTCCTCCCTTGAAAGGAAGTTCACAGCTACACTGTTTTAGCTGAAGACCAAAGGGCAGCTAAAAGCCAGTGAGGGTGGATGGAGAATGTCACAATCCTCAAATCCTCTTCCTTTAATTGTCTATTGCTGGGGTCTTTCATTGAACCAACAGAAGTCACCAAGCCCAGAAGTTTCTCCCCTGGGATGTTTTACTGGAGGGGAGAATGGGTTCACACTGTCAGGAGAAAGAGGATCCAATGCATATTAAGAGCCAAAGAAGGTGGCTCTATCTCATCCTGCAACTCCTGTTGCTGTCCCCTTTTCCTCTTCTTGAGGTCAACACACACCTGGGATTAGAAGGGAGTTTCACTGGAGGCAGACCTCAGGGTCCAGGGATCCAAATGTTATGAGGCAGGCACAGCAGGTGGTGGTGTAGTCACTGGATGTCAACTGCCAATCTAGGGCAGTTCATGGTCACACCTTCTGTAGCAGCACTCATTCATTTAGTACTCTGGACTGAGGGTCACATGCACTGCCTTGCAACTGTATTCTGAGTAGTCCTCACCATCACCACCCTTAAAGATAGTCATTATGAGACTTCAAGCTATTAAGCTGCTTACTCACAAATAGCTCACTTTAAACATTGCAACTCACTGCATTTCATGCTTTTTTGATCTAGCATAGCTAGGAGGCTGAACATTTGCACAGCGTTACTTGGTTATAGGACCAGGCATCACAGATGGGGGAAACCCTCCCCACAGATCTAGCCTCACACTTTGAAAATCAAAATAGGAGACATTCCAGAAGGCAGGCAGGACTGTTTCTGGAGAAACAACAGAGTATTTGACAGTGTGGGAGCTAGCACTAACACGTCCTATCAAACAGCAACATATGCTGAGCCCTGCACAAGTCTTACAGGTATGACATTATTGAATTTAAATTAATGTACCCAGAGAAAACGAAATAAATCCACACCTGGATCGCACAGCAAGTCAGCAACGGGGTCAAGATTAAGCCTGAGCCAAAGGGTAGAGGGCGCCAATGGGGACTCAGTCCTAGCAGATGGGGAGGATCCGGACGTGCTGGGGACCTACAAGATTGCTGCAGCTGGGATCCGTGGCGAGGCCCAACTGAGCCAGGGGTCGGGCTTGTGCGCTCGCACTTACCGGGGTGCAGGTGAGCGCGCAGTGCGCGTGCACGGACCAATGCCCCGAGAGGACGGTGAGCGCGTGCGCGAGGCAGATAGTGGCCAGCACAAGCAGCGCGGCCTCGGGGATTTGAGCCCAGCTACTGCCCCAGCCCCAGCAACCGGCGGCCGCAGCGCCCAACCACGCGGGGTAGAGCAGACCCGCGAACGGCAGCACGGTGAGGCGCCGCAGCAGAGCGAGCCGCCGGTATGGCCACACAGCGGCAACCAACTCGTCGCCGCTTGCTATAAGCGCTGGCCCCGCAGCAAGGAGCGCGTGCGGCTGCAGCCCAGGCTTGGGCTGCCCGTCGGGCCGGGCCCCACAAGACCCGGCCCCGCAGGGAACCGTGTTGCCCACCGCCGCCATCTTTCCCAGCGCCGCGCTCGTTTCCGGGCAGAGGCACCGCCTCACTTCCGATATGTTACTTCCGGTGAACCCCGATCACCGCCATGGTAGACCTGGCAGTAGGAAGCACCAGGGCAACCAGGAAGGCTGGGTCCGGAAGTGGTTACTCAGGGAGCCGCCATAACAGCCTATGGTCGGAAGGAGAGAAAAGGCGTCGCCATGACAGGGCCTCAAAGCCCTAAATCGGCCTTCCCCCGCTGCCACGCCGGATTATGACCGGAAAGGACAAAGCAGGGAGGGCAGGCTGAGCGCCACCATGACAACCTGAACAGGAAGAGGCGAGCCTTCCTCGGAGACTTCACCAGCTCCAGCCATGAGGGGCGGAGCCTGGAGAGTGAGAAGAAGGGGCCAGTCTAGGAAGAGGGGAGTTGAGGGACTGGGTCCGTTACGGGGCGTGGCCTGTCATGAGGGCGGGGCTTGTGAGGGAGGGGATGGGATGCCTCTCCTCCTGGACTGGCCGGACCACAGAGCCGATGTAGAACAGCTATACCTGATCAGAGCGTAATATAACAGACACATACACTCTAAAGTCACTAGTTTAAAATTAGAAAGTGAAAATTGGTGATTATGTGAAATTATATATTATGATGTATTACTCAATTGTAGTGTTGCACAAATGCTATTATTTGAACACAACTAAAATAGGTCTACTAAACACTGCCAATTAATAGTAATTAATAGGATGAAACAATTACTATGTGTGAGAAAATAATATATTTTAAATGTATCTGTGTTATGGCAATTTCTCTTAATTCCTTTTAAGATTTTTTATTGCATGTTTCAATTTCGGGGGCTCTATTGTTGGGTTTTGGTTTTGCTTCTGTTTTTTGTGGTTCTTGTTAACCTGGGCTGTGGGTGTGCTAGGCAAGCACTCTACCAACTGAGTTACATCCCCAGTTAAAGTTGTTGATGAACCTTTATTTTATTCATTAATTCAGTAAGTCATTGCCTCACACATGCTAAGCAAGCCCTCCACCACTGAGCCACAACCCCAGCCCCTGTTGTGTATTCTTAAGATATACACATTTAAAACTTTGTAAGTCCATATCAGTGGTGCATACTGATTATCCTAGGGACTAGAGAGGCAGGAGAATTGAAAGTTCAAGGCCATCCTGGGCAACTTATTAGCAAGACCTTGTCTTAAATAAAAAAATAAATAGCCAACTCCTTAACACAACATAAATCTCTCTCTTTTCCCATCCCAAATACATACATATAGGATCATGTCTTAAGTTAAATATATGTCAAAAATTCTTTTTTTGTGTGTGTGTGGTGATACTAGGGATTCAACATGGCCTTGTGCAGACTGCACAAGCTACATTCATAGCCCATTCCAAAAGAAAGATTTATTTTTATTATTATTTTTTAAATTTTTAGACAGGGTCTTACTAAAATTGCCCAGTCTGGCTTCAAATTTGCAAACCTCTTGTCTCATCCTCCCAAGTAACTGGGATTGTAGACCTATGCCACTGCTCAAAAATGTATCTAAGTTGATGTGGTATGTGTCTTTAATCCTAACTATTCAGGAGGCTGAAGCAGGAGGATTGTAAATTCAAGGCCAGCCTTGAAAATTTAGTAAGACCCTGTCTAAAAATAAAATTTAAAAGGAGTGGGGGTGTGACTAGTGGTAGAGTGCTTGCCTAGCTTGTGTGAGGCCCTGGGTTGGATCCCCAGGACTGCAGGGTAAAAAGTGCATTTAATACACCTAACTTAAGACTTGATATACCTTAGCAACACAATTCATTGTAGAGAATCAGTTGTTTCCCCTTGTGATCACATAGCTAACTGGGATCTGCAAACTGCTGCCCTTCTCAGCATCACGAGAGAGTATCATACTGCACATAACTAACCTGAGGGAAAAAAATTAAAAATTTGATGTATAGTTTCTACTGAAACTTAATTTTCAAACTGTTATAAACTTGAACTTTTGTAAGTCAGGATTCATCCATAATTCATGTTGCTTAGATGTATCATTGTTTGCTCCAACCTGAAGCGTGACTTTCCATTTAGAGAGCATGTGTAATCTGGCATGTTTTCACAAATAATGTCTGGGTTTTGGACTAGAAATGTAGCTCAGTGGTAGAGTGCTTGCCTAACATGCGTGAGATTTAACAGAGAAGGAATAGGAAACTGTAACTTTAAATCTAGGAAGCTCTATGAACACCCTCACGATTATTCCCAAGGCTGTTTTCCTCTAGATATAAATTCTTAATAAGCCCATGAATCTTAGAGTATTATGAGTCCAGTTAGTTCATGCATACATACATTGCTATGCTAGCTTACACAATCTATTTTTTAGACTAAATAAAAGCAATGGAAAAATCTTGGAGACTTATGAGTACATTCCAGATTCTTATCTATAAACTAGATGATGTCAACCTAGAGTTCCTGAAAGAACCAGACCACTGTAACCTGCCCTGTGCTCCATGATTAAGACAGTTGAGTTCACCATGTTGTCACTACCCTCACACATTTCTCATGTTCACTATTTTGTAAAGTTTCTTTTCAAAGAAAAACAGGAGATCCCCAAAGCACATGTCGCTTTGAAATACCTATAATCCTCCCTTTGAGGGCATAAAAACATCCTGCTCCATTGTTTTCCTAAATAAATCTTTCAATGTTTCTCTTCTGACCTGTCCTGAAATTTCTTTCTGTGGCAAGAGTCAACCAGCCAGGGCTGAGTGGAAGTCTCCTTCTCCCTTCTGGTGGACCTCCTTAATCCTTATCCAGTGACATAATCACCCAGCAGTGTGGGAACTGAGTGCCCTCTCCACCCAATCTAGTATCTCCATCGAGAAAAGTTCTTTTGTTTCCTCTACTGTGATGGGGCAGCACAAAGTTCTGGTCAGGATATATGGACTGGGGGATGCTGAGGATGATAGCAGGTCTGACTCCCTTTTGGCTATGATGGTGGCTCTGGGTAGGTAACCTGTGACCAAACAGGAAGAGTGGCCAGGCACTGAGTGGTATTGCACCAAGGGCTCCAAGATTGGGAATAGCCAGAAGATCCTGGGATGCAATTGTCAGGTGTAGGCACCTGTGAGGTCTCTTAGGTAACACTCATGTTTTCAGAAGATAATGGCTGCACCAATTCAAATGCACCCTTCTCTGTTCTCCACAGTCAAAGAGGGCTGCCAAGCTAGGCCTGAGAATACTGGGTGCTATATGTGTTTGCTTCTCTAACACCACCAGCCATTTTCCCTCCTATTGCACTCCAGAACATGGCACCATCCAAACATCTGCTGCCTTCTGCCCCACCCAAACACTGTCCCTGTCACCATCCCCTGTCTAATGCTTCTTATGTAGGAAGTGGCAACCCACCCCTGCAAATCCTAGGCTCTAATCAACTCTCAGGATGCACAGGATGCAGGTGTGACCACCTCTCAGTGACACTGAAGGTGTGGGCTTCACCCCCTTGCCTTTACACATTCATTCTGGGAGGCCCTGGCAATACACACACGCCTTCCATAATGGGAGTGGCAGCAGGTCCCACCTCTGCTAGTAGTTCGAATCTCTGTAGGTGCCTGATCTCTTCCTGCTCTCCCTTTGACCTCTGTGAGCCCAGGCAGGTTTTGTGTCTCCAAAGTGGTACAAAGAAGAGGCAGCTCAACCAATCAGACCCCACAAGGGACCAGAGTCAGGCTTGTGGTGTTCTACAAGGTCACCAGCAATAGGTCAAGTCAGTCACTTGTAGTGCAATGCACCTGCACAGGCTGGTCAGTTTCTTCAGGCCTCACAGGAAAGCTGGTTGATTGTCACTTCCCTGTGCAACTATCTCTAAGCAGTCACTGTTCATCAGCAGGTATGTATGCTGGCTAGACAAATTTGTTTGTTTATCCAACTTTAAAAAAAATATTTAGTTGCGAATAGATTTTTTACTTTATTTGTTTATTTATATGAGGTGCTGATGATCAAACCCAGGGTATCCCACATGCCAGGCAAGCACTCTACCACTGAGCCACAACCCCAGTCCTTTATCCAACTTTTGATGTTTATTTATGTATCCATCCAACTCTATTTTTTTTTTTTGGTACCAGAGATTGAACCCAGGGGCCTTAAGCATTGAGTAATATCCCTTGCCTTTTAAAAATATATATATAGAGAGAGACTGGGTCTAGTTGAGTTGCTTAGGGCCTCACTAAATTGCTGAGGCTGGCTTTGAACTAGTGATCTTCCTGCTTCACCCTCCTGAGCTGTTAGGATTAGGCATGTGCCACTGCACTTGGCTCTATCCAACTTTTGATGAATATTTCAGCTAATTTCAGATTTTGTCTAGTAAGAATAAAACTCATGAAAATACACATTCAAGTATTTGTAAGAGCATATGATATC